CCTCGAGACCTACAATGACTAGGGTGAGCACGGCTACGCGTAGAAATGTCTACTAGTTAGTGCCTAGTCTCTATCCTACCTTACCAACCAACCCTATACATACATACACACTTACATGCCCACCTCACCCACCTCGGCCCACTGCTTGCTTACCTCGCACCCTCTCTACACCACACCCACACACCTACACCCTCCACCACCACCATCGACACACACACATACACAACCCGTCCATCTATCCATTCCATGTCGTGGACACGCCTGTGACAACGCCGGCGTTCTCCTCTGCTCGGCCACCCGTGCTTCATATTGACGCAATCGCACACCCACCCTCTCACCTTCACCCACCCAACCGGTACCCTTTCCAGGATCACCACAACCACCACCATCACCATCACCACCACCACCAAAATCCCACATCCGCTTCTCTGTCCGCTCCCCTCATATCGATCTCGACACAAGCCCACACCGCCTACCCCCCACATAATGCCTCTGCACTCAGAGCGCCCCATCGTGCGCGTCGAGCACAGCTCAATACGCACAATCGAGACCCGCAACACTGAGAACCTATTCGGCCTCTGGTCTGGTAAGTACCGTCCTGCGGTCTGCCCACCTTGCTTTTTCCATCTGCACAGGATGGGCCATGGCCTCTGCTTCTGCCCTGGCGAAGCGCTACAAAGTCAGCCTACTAACGCCTTCACGCAGTCTTTGCACGATGCTCACCCGCCATGGAAGACGGCAAGCGCTACGAGAACATGGCCTGGAGACTGTGGTCCCGCGAGACCTTCTGCTGCCAGCCCGACCACATTGTGCCGCCCCAATGGGCGTTTGAGCGGCCCATGTCGTCGAGCGCCGCCGACGTGCCCGAGCTGTCCACAAGCGTGGCTTCCGACGACTCGCACCTGGAAAGCGCCATCACCTCGACCTCGCGATCCAACCTGTCCTCGTCTCGACCCGATCTGCGTCGCCACGACTCGGCCACGAGCCAGGCCCGCGGCAGGCACATGACGCCCATTGGCCTCGAAAAAGTCGTCAACTCGATCCAGGAGAAGAAGTTTATTGAGCCGTTGTCGCCACTTCCACCCCAGCTCGCTGCACCCATCGTCGCCTTGAAGCACACGGAAACCTCGACCCCCCGCCCCGCCTCTCCGCCACCCTCGGCCGCCCGCCGCGTTCCAGAGTCGTCGACGTCCACAGTCGCCACAAGCATCGACGGCAGCATCATGAGCAGCGCCCCCGTCGGCTCCGACACGAGCGGCTCGACCGACATGAGTCACCACAGCGTCGTCCGCGGCTTTGAACCGGGCCTCATCTCCACCTCGGTACGGTCGAGCACCAATCTCAACCCCACGCCCATCCTCAAGAAGACGTCCAGCTTCGTGGCCAAGCCTCTCCCCTCGTCCAAGGCCGAGCCGATGAAGAAGAAGCAGCCCATGTTCACCTTGGGCGGATCGTCCGAGGAAGAGAACAGCAGCTCCCTCGAGGCCTACTCACTCGCCCAGCGGAGCTCACTGTCCGAGCACATGCGCAAGGCACCCCCGCCGGCTATGCGCAAGACGACGTCGTTCAAGAACGAAGTCAGCACACGCACCTTCCAGGACATTGCCTCGGAAAGCGAGGGTGCCATTGAGAGCGATAGCGAAGACGAGTACGACGAGAGCGCAATCGAGGAGGACGACTCGGAAGACGACTGGGAAGACGAGGACAACGAGGAGAGCGGCCCATCCAGCGTGACCGAACGTCCTCTGTTCTCCCGCGTCGACTCGAAGCCCGACCTCACCTCGCATCGCTCCCTCCTGACCACGGCCCTGCACCAGGGCGATCGCGCGACTGCGCTGCAGAATGAGGCCTCGCGCTCTTCACCCGCCATTCGCCGCTCTCGCAACTCGACGCCCAACGGACCCTCTACTGGCAACTCACCCCAGGAGGAGGCCGGGCTGATGATGCGTCAACAGGCCAGCCGGCCCAAGCCCATCATCATGACCACGTCCAACGTCCACCCGCCAGCCATGTCTCCCAAGACGACACGCCGCAACATGCTCCAGTCCGAACTCACGGGCAGTCTCCGCCAGAATCTTCTTTGGGAGAGGCAGCAAAAGAACGCGACGACCAATGCAGTAGCCAAGCGCCAACAGAGCGCCGTCTCCCTTCCTGCCCTGCGCCGAGCCATGACGACGGGCGATGTCCAGGGACTCAACACCAACACGCAGCAAGCCCAGATCCGATCGACGACCTTTCGTGACAGCAAGAACGACAAGGACGTCGGCCTCTTCGAGACGGTGTGGGATGACGGGCTCCAAGAGTACCATCGAAGTGGATGGTGAATTGCGACTCTTTTTGTTCCCCACTTTTTTCTGCACTTCTAGCGGCATTCCAGGATCGACATGGGATCCACGGCGTTTTGTGTGCGCGTTTTCTTCCTTCTTTTTTTGATCATTTTTGGATTTTTGACTTGTTGTTTTCCCCCTTGCCACCGGTGGCGGTACGCGCGACACTCGACGAGGCTTACGAGATTTTCTTTTTTGATGCATTTCCTTGGCTTGCGCAAGGAGCAATCTATTTTGGTTTCAAAGATGGGACATGGCTTACGCCGGCAAGTAAGTGGGATGGGGGAATTGGTTGGCTGGCCTGGTTTGTTTGTCGAGCGAAGTCGAGCCAACTGGTTTCCACCATGAGCACTGCATTTGTACTATTACCCGGGCTGCCTGGACACTCTAGCAGTAGTCGCCCGAAGCACCATGATACCCCCCCTCGGTATGGGGGACGGCTTTACGAAGCTGCCTAACCAGGCCATTACCTCTGATAGGAGAGCAGGTAATGCACTAGGTACTTAATGATAAAAAGCGCAATGTTCGATATGGATTCCCGTGTCTACCCAGTGCTGCCATGATTTGTGAAGTCTTTGACGGGGCCAACAAAACGCAGGTGTGTGATGGGAGTACGAGGCCAGCATGGTTGCTTGACAGCTTTCTCCTTACCGCTCTTCTTCTGATTCATTCAACAAAGCGCCTACTAGACTGTTACTGTCTATGTAGGGACGACTAGAGTACCGTCTATGCAGCTTTCCCACTTCCATCCATAGTAGTAGCAGTAGTCCCGACACCCAACCAATGCATGGATCCATTCATTCTTGTCGGACTCTCGCTTGCATCGGCCACGAATCCACTCGGCCCACGCTCTATCTGGTTCGTGTCACCGTGGCCAAATGGGCATTTCTGTCCTCCTTGTCACATGACATGCCAGCCAACTATTCACCCTTGACTTTCCATCCATGTCACCATCCCAGGGAGTACAAAACTCCAAGGGCATGTACACTATAGTATAGTATGCATGCATGCATGCATGCAGTGGCTTGTGCACCGTGGCGTGGGGGCAATGGGGGTTTGGTCGTCGTCGTCGTCGTCGTCGTCGCCGCCAACAAAGTAACTTACTTCTTCAGCCTCATCACGCTGACTGCACAACGCGCTGCTACAGCCCTGGCAAAACAACGGTTGCCCATTCACCACGATGCAGCGCCACGCCACGCCGCAGCCAGCAGCCATGAGAAATCAACAAAGGCAGCCGAGAATGCGTCGCCCCTCAGGTCAGCGGTCAGCCTGGCCCCATTCGGCCTCTGTTCTTTTGTTGCCTGGCACTCACTCCGCCCACAATCTCTCCATTCTGTCCCTTTGCAAGCAAGCCATGTTGGATCATCTGGATGACGGAAAAAACCCACCACGACACCTCCCCATCCCCCACCGGTGTTGCTTCATCAGGCACCCGCAGCGCCACCCCGCGACCAAGTCGGTCTGGAGGTCGATGCGCTGGCACTTTAGCGCCTGCAACTGGTCATCTGATCCCCGCTCCCCTCTCCCCTCTCCCCTCCCTTCCCCTTACCCTTCCCTCTCGGCCTGCCATCTTGAAGAGAGTGGCTTCAGCCTCATGTACAGGCTGCTTCGCCACCGCAGCGCGTCCTTCCCTCTTCCTTGGCAAAACAGCTGCCATTGTCTGCAAGAGTCATCATACGCTTACTGTCACCTCCCTCCCTCGTCGGTCTGTGACTGTGATGATTGCATCCTTCCGCTTTATGCCCTCTACGCTCTACCATCATGCCAGGTTCTCGGCCTCCTGCCGTTTCATTTCTTTTCCCCGTGGGGGCGGGGTCCGTAATCGTGTCACACGCCTCTCCTGTTGTCACATCTGTTGTTTTGCGGGCTTGCAGATACCCAATGCTGACATACCTATTCCATAACTATTCATCATTCTTTTGATGATTATTTTTTTGCTCAAGCTCACGCGTCAACCGACATCGAGTCCCCCACGCCAACCCGTGTTGGATGCAAGCCACTGCCACCATGCAGCAACCAATGTCTTCGTCGTAGATCAAACCACCCAGACCGTCCCTGGGTTCTTTATCTTTGGGAGAGCGAGCGGCGTGGGTCCGGAAGTGTATGGTTACCGCCAATATCAATGCATTGATGTTACATGGATGCTTGGCTCCTGCATGCTACAGCCTACAGATAAGACACTACAAACCCTTTATGCGGACAGGTCCATGGTTTCCATCGACATGCCAACGGATGTTTCATCACAACATGATTGATTCTACTCGTCGGATCAACGGGGGAAATGCTTCTTCATCTCAGCGGGGATGGTGCCTGTCACCCAATGCTGTACATATCGGACGCTTCACGCCCGCGGAACTTGCAGCACCTGTTTATTGATCTTTTTTATTTATTTTTATTCAATCCATGGTCGTGATGGCAGGGGCCAGATACCTATGCCTACTAGGAGTAGGAGGCCTACTCCACGAGACTAACGCAACCCGACTACTGCGCCTACCCACAAGGAGCGGCTCATGACAGCGTCCATGTGTTCCAACATGGGCAGGAATACAACCTAACCACCTGATAGTTTGGGAAGTCGTTGAAACCCTGGATCCTTTGCCCCTACGTACTACTACATACTACATCCACTATTCAAACTACCTAGTGCCATTGGTGATGGTGGCGGCGGAGAGTTTGTCGGATTGCCGGAAGGGGTCACAGTAGCTCGGTGGTTCGCTGCCTCTGGCCCCACCCCAACTTTACCCCAGGTTTCTTTGCTGGCATGTCTCACTTGACAACGTGCCCAAACGAGTGCTCCTGACTCCTCAGACGGTCGAGAAACGCAGCGAGAATCGAAATGGCCTTTGGTCATCCATTGCAAAAGAGGGGGAGGAATACTTTTTCCCAAAAGAAAAAAAAAGAAAAAAAAGAAACCCCCCGCGACACGCAGTCGCCCGCGACACTGCCACAATGTGCCAAGACATGTGCTTATTTGTGTTTAGGGTACACGTGTATGCCATCAGCTCCTCGTAGGCCATCCCAGCATGCAATGTATGCAGGTAGTAAGTATGTACTTTGGTCTTGGGAATGGGCCCATGGTCATGAATCCCGGGGGCCATTTCTTCACGGGTTATCCATGCCCATATTGTAGGTAGCCCGGGCCTGTGCAATGGCTCACCGGTATTTGACTTGCCGCATTTACGGTACATGCACCAGCACTGTCAACATCTCCCGCTGCCCTTCTCCTACCGAGGGTCTACCAAGCACCTCGGATTATTAAGCGAGCCTCTTTGAAGATACGAGCCGAGAAATGGTTCGACTATGGTGTGAAAGCCGGCTACGGACATTGGTTCGACGATGAGGTCGAAGTCGGCTACGGACATTGGGTCGACAACGAGGTGAAAAGCCCGGCTAGGGATATTGCTCCGATACAATCTCGTCCCCTTGGCTAGATGGCCGGGTACATTGTCGGTCGCTCACACAACACCTGGGTCGTCATTTCGCGTCCGATGCCCTCTTTCACATGAACTGCACCGTTCATGCGAACATCACAAGCTGAAAGCCAGACATACCTGCCTCTACCGTACACATGCCATGCACACTGTCAGTCTCATGATCCGCAAACGGTCCTTCATTCCGGCCTCTCGAGCCAGCCAGACGGGCATTGGGAGACCAGAAGCAGCCGTGCGCTGAGCTCAGCTCAGAGGAAAACAACGATGATCACCTTTTACGTTTACGGTTTCGATATCAGCATGCCATTAACGTTCCATGGACTGGGGAGGGACTGCAAAGACATTCGGTTCTCCTCGTTCTGCTGGCTACCGTCCCGGACCTGGACGGGTCGAGCCAAGTTGATCTGACAGGTTCCAAGGTTCCCGGCTAGGTGGTCGGCTAACTTCCCCGCAGTTTTTACAAACATGGGGCATGTCGAAACGCAGAGAATAGATTGGGTGCCCACGTGAAGAGGCGGACACTCTACGGTGATGCATACCGTACACTGTGCGTGCTTGACGACGCAAAGCCGGGCGTCACAAGTACGGGAGGTGGATGGAGGAAGGGTTAGGTTGGTGTCAATAGTCACTAGGCTCCAGAGGGTAGGACCAAGGAAACAGGGCAAAGGGGGTATACATGATGATTTATTTGTTGTACTTGGTCTATAGAATGGGAATCTGCTCATGTGATGGATTCCGATAGGACCTCCATGTGCGTGACTTGGGACGACAGCTCACGTAAGCGCTAGGGCAACGCATACCATTGTACTTGTCGCCATGTACTGTACGAGTCCATGTAGCCTAGGGCTTATACTTGCAGGACTACTACCTATATATAATTGTCTTCCAATTCAAATCAATCTATATAGGCATACCCGGTCAGTAATGAGTATAGTCGATTCAGCATATGCACCAGACAGTCTAGGTTCCTGGCTACCCGTTCGGCGCCAACAATCGGGACGTTTTTTACCCCATGCCATTGCGGAGAGAATGACTAGTATCCCATTTATTTATTTTAGAATGGCTAGGATCCCAGATATTTATGTATTTCAGAATGACTAGCATCCCATTTATGTATATATTTCAGAATTACCAGTATCCCATGTATTTGTCCATTTCAAATGCTTGGCTCTGCCCATTCCTATGCTGGCGCTGGTGTCTTGTCGGCAACTCGAGGGCACACGTTCTGCCGTGCTCTGGGTAAGTGTGTGCCTGGCCACGGACTGCATTGCCGCACTCGATTGCCAAACAGCCCGTCCATGTCACCTCTGCGACGGTGACGGTTCAGAGCTGGCAGGCCACATCCGCGCTGACGCTTGCGCTCACGGTGAAACTCTACCGGCGGCCACGGCCATGGCTTCCCCGTTGGCTGTTCCCAACGCCATCATCCCCGCCTCAGGCTTTCCTCGAGCCCGAATGCGGTACTGGATGTACGTGATTTGCTCTGGTGGGGAGCAGAGGTTAGGTAACAGGACCAGTGCCTGCAGTGTCAGGTGGACGGCAAAACGGGGAAGCCGGTCAAAGGAAGCATGGGCTCGCCGCGGTTGCTTCAGCCCAGAAGGACGATTGTCAGACTGCGTTTTGTTCGCAAGTATAATAGCATTGGCAGCACATGGTTCGCCCGCCGTGAATCTCGTCACGATGATGTCCAAAGATCGTCGGCCTACTCGACACGCAAGCCACTTTGCAAGGTCACGAGCATGTCATGCATCATGCGCTTGCGCCTTCGCCCTCCTAGGCCCCGATGTGTTGGCGGATTGTATGTATGTGCCAGGAGGATGACGGTCCACTTCGCCATTGGGAAAATGCAGTCACCGCCGTTACTACCAACGAAGGAAGTGTGTTGTAGAGTAGAGAAACGTAAACACTAGTACAAAAGGGGTGGATT